TTAAATATGTCACGGGAAATTTTTTTGGACATTTTTCATATTCGATTTTGTAATATGAAGATCCTCTACCCTTAAATCTTGATCAAAATCAAAAGATATTAATTCTTGGTTTTGTTGCATGATTCTTTCAGATCTTTCTCTATTTCTTTCCTGTATTCTTTCCACATTTCTTGCTCTTTGAGAATCTCGTGTGTTGGCAATCTTTTTGATATTTTCAATGTCTTCAAAGGTAAGATCATCAAGACCAGCAATTAATCTAGCCTTTTTTATAGTTTCCAAAAGTCCTTCATTATGATGAATTACTGCTAAACTATGACATGCAGCAAAAGACTGCCAAAAGTCTATTTTTTTATCTAGGAAAATATTCTTTTCACAATTGAATGATTCATTATATGAAGTACGAATATGAGTAACAAGGCTTTGCTGGGTATTCAAGGTAAAACTTTCTTGTAAGATTTTTCTAAAAGCCTTTCATTCAATATCTGAATACATTAAAAGATGTGGTTCCTTGAGTTCTAATTCTGAATTATTTTTCAACCAACATACCTCATCCCAGCATAAAGAATGATCACCACTCAGATGTGCTACTAGTCCATCTACTTGCACATGAAACAGTTCTTCATCTGTTGGTGTTACTATTTCTGGTGTTGCTTTTCTCAAGGTAGCAGCATACACACAGTTTCGATAGTATTGCATAATTGGTTGCTCAAAAGATTTCCAACAATTATTTTTATCTATAAATATATGTATATGTGTATATATATATAAATTATATTTATGTATGTATATGTGTATATATATATAAATTATATTTATTAATAAATTATAAATTATATGTATATAATAAATTATATTTATATGTATGTATATATATGTTAAATCAAATTCTCGCCTATTTTTTTTCTAATATTTTTTGTTATATGTTTCAGATCACCAAAAACTTTATTGACCTGTCATTCTCCCCTTAGAGTAGTGTTCCTATGAACCGAACCGAACTGAACTTCAGGCCATGTTCAAGTTCGGTTCATCAAAACTCAGTTCAGGTTCAGTTCGGTTCAATAAAGCAAAGGTCAGTTCAAGTTCAGTTCAAATTTAAAA